TCGGGGCTTTACGCTGCTGCCCGGGCTGGAGTGCAGTGGCGTGCTCATGAGATGATGATGAGACATATATTGTAGGAGTAAGATCTTGCTGTTGCCCAGGCTGGTCCCGAACTCCTGGGCTCGAGCAGTCCTCCTGCCTTGGCCTCCCAAAGCGCTGAGATTGCAGGCATAAGCCTCTGTGCCCAGCCTGTGTATTCATTATTGGGAAAACCTTACGTATTAATTGTTAGGATGGGTACTCGTCTGAGAAAATATTTGTTAAGCCAGGGATGATTCTAGATTTAAGGTGAATCTCAGTCTTCTCTCTCAGTCTCACTTCTCCAGCTGTTGTATATAGAGGGTGCCAGGAAAAGTGTACACGTTTTAAGAAAGGAAAAAAAACTGTATTAAAATTGTAATACTCAGTAAGATGAATGCAAGTCATGTTTGACTTTGCAATTCTAAGAGATGCTCAAAATGGTTACCATCAGCATCCAGACACTTCTGATCATAGTGAACATCTCTTAAAATGTGTGTGCTTTTTTTTGGCATCCCAGTATTGTTACTTATTCTTGTGGGGTTTTCTGTTGTTGTTGTGTGTTTGTTTTGAGTCAGGGTCTCACTGTTGCCCAGGCTGGAGTTCAGTGGCACAATCACGGCTCACCACAGCCCAAGCAGCTGGGCTACAGGCATGTACCACCATGCCTGGTTAATCTTTTTTAGTTTTTTGTAGAGACGAGGTCTTGCTCTGTTGCCCAGTCTGGTCTCAGACTCCTAGGCCCAAGCAGTCCTCCTGCCTCAGCCTCCCAAAGTGCTGGAATTACAGGTGTGAACCACTGCGCCTGGCCTCATTACTACTTTCTTAATCTCTGCATTTGGAACATGAGTCTGTAGCCTCTGGTCTTCTCACTACACTGTTCCCGGCCTTCTCCTAGCTTCTCCCCATCTCCCTTGTCATCTTTATCTTTTTTTGTCTCTGTGTTTTATGAAGATCTTGTCCTGTCTCATCTGGGAGTTTTCTTCCTTCCCCATCCATCTTAAATGTCATTTTCTTTTTGGAGGCTGAGCCCAGACTGTTGCTTGTTTGATGAATTGGGTAATTGAGTGCTCAGGACTGCTGACTCCTACTGCCATCTGGTTGTTGCAGTGACGGTGTTCTATTTTAGGAGGTAGTGTGTTTGCTTGTGTGCATGCATGTGTACATGTGTGTGTGCCATTCATTTGTGTGTTTAGTTAAGCTGAAAGCACAAGATGGAAATTCTGTGCCCTTCTGTAGTCTAATTTTGGTTTCATATCTTTGGTGTATAAAGCCTAGGTGTTGCTTAATTTTTTATATTGTCTGTGTTTTCTACTTTGAAGATTTTAGAACTTGTGAACAACAGAATCTTCCAGTCCAGGATTGGGCACAAGAAAGCTGTCCAGCACATCCAGTTCACAGCTGATGGGAAGACTCTTATTTCAAGTTCTGATGATTTGGCAATTCAGGTGAGGGGTGATGGACGTTGAACATATGTAATGCCGACTCTAGCAAAGGAACACTTTGGTTATACCGAAAACCTGGTGTGCCTGTTAAACACATTGCTTTGTGCATACGTTCGGATTATGCACGTGGGCTTAGGTGAAACCCACTGTTGCTTCATGTTTTCCTGCAGATGAAGCAGGCAGGCAGAGTCAGAGTCTCTCTTGGAAGGTTGTGTATTTCGAAAATCCAGGGTTCATTTGCGTTTTCCTACCTGCCTTGGTGTTTGCATTTGTTTCAGTAGGTATACCTTTTGCCCCGTTTGTGTAATTTCTCTTTACTTTTCTTTACATAGCAAAATCCAGTTGAAATAATTTCATTCTTCCCTTTTAGGAATGTCTGTTAGAGCAATGAAATTCTATGAAAAAGAATAGTTTGCCATGATGAATCATGGGTAGGGAAGCCTTAAGCTTACTATGCAGTATTTAAAATTTACTGGATTTTATTAAAGTTCCAATGCACGTGCTGTTAAAACTCAAATAGTGTTACAAGGCTTATTACGAAAAATAGCTTTTAGATGTTTCTTTTGATATTTACCATCGTGCCTTCGTATGGCGTGCTTATCGTGCTATTCTTCGTTTTCCCGTTAAAGGAATTATCTTCTGGCTTCCCTGCCGGAAGATGAGAAGTTAGCTTTTTTCCTCCTTCCGCCCACCCTGCTGTCAACATACTTGCATGCACATGTGCACACACACCCACTTACCAGTCCTCATCCCAATACGGTTATAACGCTGTTTTCTTTAGATCCTTAGTGTCATCATTGTGACTGTGTGTACTACGGGTGCTGTGCATTCGTTTCCTGCCTTAATGCAATTTAGGCAAATTTGGCCTTTGGGTGTAGTTGGAAATTTTTTTACCCCAAACTTTGAAGACATTGCTCCATTTTTTTCCAAGTGCCAAAGTTCAAGTTGAAAAATCTAAAGCCGTTTGCTTCCTAAACTTTGAGGACCTTCACTTTGTCCCCAGAATTTTGTAATTTCAGGATGAGGTGCCATGGTGTTTGTTGTCATCGTTGTTTTGGACATTCGGGATCCTTCTCAGTTTTAAAACTCAGGTTTTTCAATTCAAGGGTACTTATTTGAATTATTTATTTGATTTTTTGGGGGGTCCAGCCTCATTTCTTTTTCTGTAACACCCATTATTCAGATTAGATCTCCTAGACTGAGCATCTGGCTTTCTTTCCCATATTTCATGTATCTGTCTATACTGTGCTACATTTTCTGGGAGTTTTCCTCATATTTATCTTCTAAACTGTTTAGTCAGTTTTTTATTTCTCCCGTTATATTTCTAAAACCTGAGAGTTCATTCTTGTTTATTCCTTTTGAAGAGCATTGAGATGTATCTTCTCTTTCCTCTCTGAGGAGAGATATACATACACATAAACACATATATAGGTGGGTATATAAAAGTTATATATGCAGACATTGTATACAAGCATACATATATATGTATTTTTATATATGCATATATATAAAATATATATGTATATTATATACATATGTATGTTTTTTTCATTCACAGATTTTATTTCCCTGGAGAGTTACTATTTCCTCCAAATTGCTTTTTTCTGTTCGGTTGTTTTGGCCTCCTATTTTAAAGGCCTCCTCAGCTATATAATGATCATTGGCTACCAGAGATGTAGGTACTGAATGGCTCATTGAAAGCTCTGTGTGTTGACTGAGCCCTCCGAAAGGTGATCTGAGTGGGGAACCTTCCTTGTCAGTATCTTCAGACCCTTTGTCTTGGTTCCCTCAAATTCTTACAGAAAAATCTTCTGGTCTCCTGCTTGGAGGATAAACCTGTCTGATAGGTTTTCACAACTAAGTAGGGAAAGAGGACTGAAAATAGATGTTGGATCTCAACATTAGTATGTACACCTTCCCTTGATTCCCCCATCCTCACAACAATAATTGTACCCTCCGTTGTGCTTTTGCCCTTTAATCCAGAGATTCTTCTTCCTAGTTTGCTCTCATTGTCTGTAGGGGCGTTATTCTCTACTTTCTTCCCTTTTTTTCTCATTACTATGGTCTCTTTTTTTTTCCCCCATGAAATCAGTTTTCCTAAACTCTGGAGGGTGAGGAAGCCCAGCATTTCTGGCTTCACAGCTGTGCAGCCCTTCTGTTGTTTTTAGGAGGCATTGACAGGGTGGCCGTGTTCTTGGGCGATCTCTGTGTTCCACCCCTTCCCTCACTTTTATTTGGATTTTCTCTTTGTTGCCATTATACCTTGCTCCACTCTGTTTGGATTCTGTTCCTCGTGGTTCCTCCTCACTGCCGGGCTTTCCTGGTTAGTTTGCGAGTTCACGGGGCCACACAGCTCCTGCCCTTTCGGCCGTCCCCAGCCCCATGCGCAGTGTCTCTGCCCTTCTCTAGTTGGCCCACTGCGCCTTTCCGTGACTGTCGTGGGACGAGCTTGGGACTTTGCGTCTTCTCACACAGGTGCTGTGACCGCACCAGTCTTGCAGCTCTCATTTGTCTCGGGGCTTGTGGGGATACTTGGTCACTTAACAGGATCTTGTTGTAGACGTCTGAACTTTGATTTCACTATTCCAGTTACTTTGTCTGCTTTTAATGGAGGGCTTCAGGGAGACTGAAAAACGATGCCTGCACTTCTGCTATCTTCCCAGAATTCCTCCTTCTGTGCTTGGCCCCACCCTCATTCCCACCCATGGATAGACAGTTTTGAGCATTTGGGGAGTTCTTACTGCCAGTGTTGTTCCTCGACATTTTCTAGTGCTTTTAGGATTCTGTTTTCTCGGTGGGTAAGTCAGTTCTACTCTCCTGTTTCCCGGGCTCTGACATTTTGTTATCTCCTTTCTCATTCTTTTGACTTTGCCATGTCAGTCGGGGTCTAGAAGCGAAGGGCCCTTCACTACCTCTTCCTCTCCAGACGTTTTTGAAATGGGTAAAGTGAAACTACATCTAATGAAATTCTGTTGAGACATTTTATACTGTGTAGTCTATCGAAAATTAGCCACTTGCTCAGTGATTTCAGATATTCTCAGCCAGAGGCAGAAATAATTTTTAGAAATATTTTTAGAATATGAGTCAGATTATTTTTAGAAATATGAGTAGTGTTTTACCCTCTTTTTTCTTTTCCATTTCTGCTCAGAATACTTTCTTCTTCTTTTTTTTTAAAGTTAGGGTCTCACTCTGAAGCCAGGCAGATGTGCAGTGGCGTGATCATGGCTCACTGCCACCTTAATTTCCTGGGCTCAGGTGATCCTTCCACTTCAACCTCCTGAGTAGCTGGGACTAAGGCATGTGCCACCACGCCTGGCTAATTTATTTTATTGTTTTTGGAGAGATGAGGTCTTGCCGTGTTACCCAGAATGGTCTTGAACTCCTGGGCTCAAACAGTCCTCCTGCCTCAGCCTTCCAAGGTGCTGGCATTGTAGGTGGGAGCCACTGGGCCTGGCCACAATGTACTTTTTACATTTGCCGTGTTTTAATGAGTATACATTTATGTAACAAAACTCTTGGTATGTATTTCTGAGAAACAACTTGTAGGGTTTTGTTGTCATTAAAAAATGACAAATTACAAAACATTAAAAAATGTTTTGGTAAATGACTATACAGAGATTTGTTTGAATCATCTTTATATCCTCAGCGCCTGGAATATAGTAGAGGTTCAGTAAACCTTTGTTGAGCTGAAGTGATTGCCAAAATTTGAAGAATCTGCTCACCTGACGGTAGCACTTAGAGTTGTAAAAATTGAGGTCTACTTTGGTAGTTTTTGATATGTTACCTAGAGATAAATAAAGCCCAAGAATTAGCTATGTTTACCTGAGCCAGTATATAAGAATATATTGGTTATTGCTGGTTTAAGAAGTTTCTTTAGCATTTCTAAAATCCAAATTTTATTCATATAGCTGAAAAAAATTCTACAGTGTATATACATTACAAAGATTATAGCTGTTGGTAGAGACATCCTCAAACTCAATTTTATTATGTTTGATGTTGGTGAAATTTTTAAGCTGTTATATCAATGCGATTCAGTTAGCACAGTATGCTTGAGTCCTACACAAAAAGCATCACTGTCACGTTGCTTCCTCAGAAAGCAAAAGCTGAAAAGGCTATTCTTCATTTCCCTCTGGTGGTTGTCAAATTCCTTGTTGCATCTGCTCAGGAAGGTTCTCTGACTTCTTTTATTTTTGTTAAATTTCACTTTGTTACAGAGTTTGGGGTACCAGTGAGGACCAACTCCATAAGCAGGCTGCATGCAGGTGGCCCTCACTTCCCCTGGTGGTGGACCAGGTACCGTTTGTGATGTCACATGTCCTCTGCCCTCCTCTTCCCTCCCTCCCCAGCAGTGCCCGGCAATTTATGTCCATCTCAGGGGAGGGATTGCTGGATCATATGGAAGGTCAATTTTTAGTTATTTTAGGAATTGCCACACTGCTTTCCATAGAGATTGAACTAATTTGCACTCCCACCAACAGTCTTCCTTTTCTCCACAGCCACGCCAGCATCTGTTGTTTTTTGACTTATTAATGCTGACCATCCTTACCAGAGTTAGGTGGTAATTTCATTGTGGTTTTGATGTGCATTTCTCTGATCATTAGTAAGGCTGAGCAGTTTTTACATGTCTGTTCGCTGCCTGTATGTTGTCATTTGAGCTCCCTGACTTCTTGGTGTGGAGGGCAGCAGTCAGAACTGAGTCAGGAGTGAATGCTGAATTGGGCACAGCTGGGATTGGCGGTGTCCATAAACTAGGAAGAGTTGTTCAGTGCAGCCACGAATCCTCTTGTTCTGTACAGACCAGAAAGCGGAAGACGGAGCCAGGGAGTGGGTTAGGGTCTCTATGATTCATCACACACGGTGCTCTTCCTTGCTGGCATGATTTGGGGGGGTCAGAATAGCCTCTGTTCCTTCGCCGCCTCTTGTGTATCTCACTGGGTTCTTAAAATACTGAAATTCCTCATTCATTCTCTTCAGAATTATTCTCACTTCCAGTTCTTCTTCTAAAGTCCCCTTGCATGCATCCTTGACTCTGGCTTCCTGCCTCTGTGGAGAGATCTGAGAGCCAGGGCTTGGTGGGAGGGTGGTTGCAAAACGTGGTGGATGCCGGAGTAAAAAGGAGCATAGAGATATCTTGCTATTCCTGTGTTGACAGAGCCCAATTCCAGACATTTCTGTGGTTTAGCATTCGTCAGTCAAGAGCCAGACCCGGAAACTCCTGCCCGTGCGTGCTGTGGTGGTGGCTGAGCTCCCTCATCTCTGTCTCCTCGTGGAGCTGCCTGCTACTCACACCTCCGAAGGTCAACTTTGTGGCCTGCTGGTCATCTTCCCAGCCTTCGTTCTTGGCTGTTCCTTCTGCACGTCCTGTGCTCCAGCCAGTTGGAGCCAGGCAGGTCCCTGGAATATCTTATGGCTCCTCCTCCTGCAGCCCCACCCCAGCCTTTGCTCCCTTTAAGGAACTCTTCTCAGTCCCAGCACCTGCAGCCCATACTCAGGCCTACCTCGAATGCACTGTCTCCACCAAACCTTCTCTAAGGAATTGCTTTTCTGAGTTTTACAGAACTTTTTTTTAAATACAAAGTATTATTTAAGTTCTTTATTAACAGGCACTTGCAGTTTGCTTTGGAAAAATCAAGTTGTGAACTTTTATTACAAATTAAAAATGAAATTTGTAAAAATCTCAACTTGACCAGATATGAAACAGTTTTAAAACCTTTAAAGGCATACTGAGGAAAACCAGGCTTTAAACACACATGCGTGCACGCGCGCGCACGTTATAACCAAAAAAAGAGATGTCTTTAGGTAAAAACAGTAAACACCCCAGGCTGCATAGATAATGCAGGTGGTTCTAGTTATCTGGTCAGCAGGCAAAAAGCAGACACTTAAGGTCTTTAGCTCCGGCCTTGTGTTTGTTTTAAATGCTGGACTTTCGCCTTCATTCCTTCGTGTGGGATGCCTGAATGATGGCGGTTGAGATGCCTGACTGGAGTGGAGGGTGAGTTGGTGTGTTGGCGGCTGTTGTCTCTCTGCCTTGTGTGGCTCAGGGTTTTCCGGTTATTCGCGTGGGTCCTGGGAGGTGCCTGGTGCCCTTGGGCCTGCTTCTTTGGTTTTTTTCCATTCTCTTCTCGCCATCCTCTCCGGGCATTTGGGTGTCTTGGTGAGGAGGGCCGTGGGATGGTGGCCTTGGCCTGGGCACGTCTTTCTCCTGGGTCTTCCCTGCCTCCTGCTCCCTGCTGGCCCCGCTTCCTGCACGGAAAGGTCGTCCTGGTGGGTGGGCAGTGGCCTGGTCCTCCACCTGTTGGACCTAGAGGACCCTGCCCTGCGGACAGCGGGATTGACGTGGCCACTGCACATTGGCTGCCTGTCTGCCACTTGCTACGTCTCCTTCAGCAACACGGGCTCCGTCAGGACTTCTCCAGGCCATTCTCTGTGCAGCCTGGGGCAGAAGGCCGTGCTCCTCCTTGTCACTCCTGCTCATGAAGCCGAGCCCAAAACCTTCGTTGGGACGAACCTTTGAACCCTGCCTGCTGGGTGGCCCTGTGAGGTGTCTGGTGCCCACGCCACTGGGTTTGGGGGTCCCCGCAGGTTGCAAGAGTGATGAGGGGGTGGGGCTCCTCCCGGGCTGTGCTGCTCACACTGGGAGGGGGTATTCAGGGTTCTCTGGGGGTCTACTTGGCTTCTGAGGCAACTGAGTTTCACAGATCTTTTATGTCCGTCTTTGTATCTTCTAATGTTAAGTTGTTGTTGTTATATGTCCCTTTTGTTTGCTAAAACTCTTAGGTTTCTTTATGCTAGATCTTTGATTCATGTTTGCTTCACATACAGGTGTGAATATGCAAGTTTATTTGAAGTGAAGAATTAACAAGGCTCTACATGCAGTTGCTTTGATTTAGTAATTAAGAGATGATCTTGGGGAATGCGGCTTGGGGTGCAGCCGTGGGCCTGCCCACTGAGTGTTGCCGCCTCTTCCTGCCCCTAGCAGCGCTCACCAAATCTCGGGGCTGAGGAAGCCAGACCCATGGCAGTGCCCTCCTCACTGCTGGTGCCCACCCCTGTGGGGGTGCAAAAAAAGATGTTTTTTACTGCCCAAGTGCCCACCAGTGACTGACTGGATAAAGAAAATGTGGTATATACACACACACCATGGAATACTACGCAGCCATAAAAAAGGAATAAAATCCTGTCCTTTGCAGCAACATGGATGGAGCTGGAGAACATTGTCCTAAGCGAGCTTACTCAGAAACAGAAAGCCAGACACCACACGGTCTCTGACACTTACACGTGGGAGCTAGATGGCCACAGAGAAGGAAATAGCAGACACTGGGACACGAAAAGGAGGGAAATGCTGAGGGGGTTTGGGTTCAGAAGTTAGTTACGTCCTGGGTGCAGTGTTCACGACCTGGGAAATGGGCCACCGGAAGCCCAGTCTCCAGCAGAACGCAATATATCCTTGTCACAAACACGCCTTGTACCTCTGAATCTAAAATTTAAGAAAGTTTATTAGTGGATGTAAAAAGGAAAGACACGCCCCATGCATGTGTGGGTGTGCACGCACGCGCCCTCGCACACACGTGGGTTGTCACTAAAAGAGAGAGAATGTGATGTCATGTGAAGAGACAATGCAAAAGCCTGCTAGAGGTATTGGATCAAACCAAAAAGAATTAAGAATTTTTTAAAGTCTATAACAACAACAAAAAGGTGTTTTTCTTTTTCTGATGTTTTTTGAGTCGCAGTCTCGCTCTGTTGCCCAGGCCAGAGTGCAGTGGCACGCTCACGGCTCGCTGCAGCCTCAGCATCTTGGGCTCTGGCGATCCTTGCACCTCAGCCTCCTGAGTAGCTGGGACTACAGACTACAGACGCTCACCGTGATGCCCAGATAAGTTTCATTTTTTTTGTAGAGAAAAGGTCTTGCCATGCTGCCCAGGCTGGTCTCTTCACTCTTGGGTCAGCCTCCCAAAGGACTGGGATTCCTGCCTCAGCCTCCCAAAGGACTGGGATCATAGGCTGGAGCCCCTGTGCCTGCCCCCCAAAAAGTGTTTATATGGATGTAGCATAAAAACAGAGTTCTGTCCTCTCTATCTCTGTGCCTCAGGTAGGTTTATGTGCTGATTTTGCGCCAAGTGCTCATTATTGTTTCAGCTTTCTTCCTCCCCTGTGTCTGAGGAGCTCTTCCCAAAGTTCCGTGTAAACAGTGGTGCCCTACCACTGTTCTGTCATTCTGAGGACTGCACTGGGGGATGGCCGAGAGCCCTGGAGCGAGAACCGTGTTCTGCCTGGAGGCCGCTCTGATCAGCCGACCTTCCTGGGCAGCGGAATCTGTAGACTTCCTCAGCATGTAGGCTCAGAATCTGTGGATATGTGATTGGGACAGTTGTCTCTGGAAAACTCAGTCAAATGGTGAGCTCACTGGCATATTGTGGGTCTTCTCTGTCTTCTAGTGTAATTAACTGTTCTCCAAGCAACTGAAGAAAACAAATTTCATTTAGGAGAAGTCTTTTATTTTGTTCCTAGTCAAATTAATTAACCCCAGCTCTTCTCTGTAAAATGCAGACACCACATTCTCTCCTGTTACTCTTCTTGGTTTTACTGAAATGCCATGAGAATAAAAGACTGTAGACAAGAGAGTACACACTCCTTCCACCCCTCCGATGGAATAGTATGGGGGGAGGGCTTTAACAGACTTATCTCTTTGATATTCAGGTGTGGAACTGGCAGTCAGAGGAATATGTCTTTCTGCAAGCCCACAGAGAAGCAGTGAAAGACTTCAGACTCTTGAAAAATTCAAGGCTGCTTTCTTGGTCATTTGATGGAACGGTGAAGGTAATTTGAAACACAGGTTTGATTTTTTAAACGGTGTTCTAATATTGCAGTGATTATACTGTGACAGCCAAGAGTGCATGGATGTTACGAATTACTTGCATTTGAACATTTTTATTTTCTCACATGTTTTCTGTTCATTGTGGTCATCTACATCTGCTGTGTGTAATGAGTGCTTATACCAACACTTAAAGAAATCAGAACAGCTAGCATGCTGAAACGCTTGTCTTACAGATCGTCTTGAAGCTGATCATGCATTTTAACAAAAGTGTTCTTGGAAGTGTTAGCTTCTATATTTTTGTTTTGTGTTTAAAGGTGTGGAATATCATTACTGGAAGAATAGAGAAAGACTTTGTCTGTCACCAGGATACAGTACTTTCTTGTGATATCTCTCCTGATGCTACCAAGTTTTCATCTACCTCTGCTGACAAGACGGCAAAGGTAGGTCAGCCAGTTGACATGTCCTTGCATAAAATTTTGGTATTTGTTACATATTACGAATCCAAATAATATATAAAACAGGATGGTAATAGTTGCTGTCTGCGTATGTCTGTCTCATATTTTATGAGCTTTTGGAGAATGCCCACTGGCATTTAGTTGGTGTCAAATAGTTTAAAGGAATTACACTGAGGACTTCTGGTTTCTCTCTTATGGGTTACTTTTTGTCATAATCAAATGGAATCTCTGCTGCATATTATAGGCACTGAAAATCATTGAAAGGAATTTACTTTTAATTATGCACTCGCAGTAAATATTTTATATAATTGACGCAAGTTGATGCTTCTGAAAGTCACATTCCAGTAAGTGATACTGCTTGGTGGGACACCTCGAATACTCTGTTCTCTTCTGTCTTTCTTCACCTTTGTTAATGGCTTGATTACCTACCCACTTTGCAGACAGCACAGCTTCAATTGTCAGGGACTCTGTCCTGTCTCGTGCTGTGTTGATGACTCCTCAGTGTCTTTTAGACGTGTCTTCTCCCCCTTGTCCCCACCCTTCAGAGCACCCTCTCCCCCGCCTTCATCGGTGGATGGTCTCTGCATCCTGTCTCTGGTCTGCAGCTCTTCCTCGTTGTTTTCCGTCCTGCTGCCTGTGACCCCGTCAGGACACCTGTCGCATGATGGTTCTTGGGCTGGCTCCTTAGTTCTTCACCCTCTCTGTCTGCTGCAGTCTCCTCTATGCCAGACTACTGGCTGCCTGCCTTCATCTTTTGGTGCGTGTTCCTAACCTTGGTTTGGTACTGCCTTGTATTCCTTTTTCACCCTGGAGCATCGTTACTCATCCTTCTAGGTCTAGATGGGACGTCAGCTCCTCGTGAAGCCTCTCCTGGCCCTCAGGCAGCGGAGCTGCTCTATCTTCAGTGTTCCTGGGACATTTTATTTATGTTGTTTAGAGCATTTACTGCGTACAGCTGTTCACTAACTGTTCATGAGCCTGTCTTCCTGATTAAACTACGTGTTTTCAAGAATAGAGACTATCTAGCTCATCTTTCTACTGCCAGGACTTCGCTCAGAGTGCCTGGAACATGGTGGTTTTCAGTTGGTTTGTGAAGTGATGATGGCAAAGCCATGAGAGAGACTATTAGAAGGAAAAGAACAGCATTTGGCTGCTAAGATAGCAGGCTAGTATAGTGACTAACCTTTAAAGATCACTTGCCATGTGCTAGGAATTTCACTCTCCATAATCATGTTTAACCTTTTGTACTGGGTCATAAAGAGATTGCTGGGGATTATAAAGGACAGACTTATGCAAGGGCAAATTTTTCAAAAATGTGTGTTTCTGTAAAGTTTTTCATTCCAAAACAGTGAAAACTCGATGTCCCATTTGAAATGTATCAAGCTTCTGATTGATCAGGTGAGAAGTGTTTTTCAGGAATCATGAGTGTGTCCTTCCACATCGTCTTTGGACAACAGACTGGATGATAAATCACATGTTATTGATGTGGGAGGAAGGAAATGAGACTGCACTATCTGCTTGAATAGGAAAACGCCAAATGGAAGATGACAAGCAAATTACTATTGCACAACATGTATCAATGAACCTGCAATGCATGTTGGTGACTGTTTCACATGCTACCCATGTTTGGAAATATAAAATTTTGATTTCTGGGTCATAAATAAGTTCCTCAATGTCCACACTTCCATCATAAGCCAAATATTATTCAATTAAATAATTGGCTCCAATGCTGTACTATTTAATATGAAGTAATTTGTTTTTCACTATTAAAAAATGCAGTCGCTGGTAGGTGATCCCTGAGATGTCTCCAAGTGCAAAGGGCTAGCCCTTCCACAGTTGGCGCCATTTCACAGATGCGGAGAAGGTTACATGAGTGGTCGTAGGTCCCAAGGGTGTAGTGAACAGTGGAGCCAGGACACTCACTCTGGTCTGCCTCCCTTGACTGACTGCTCTGAACAGATGCGGTGTTCTCAGTCTATAGACAAGGAGGCTGTGACTCTGGTCCTTGAGCCGAATTTAACTTGAGTCATTTAAAGGGAAACTCGGAAAAATAACCAGGGTTGCAGGTTGGAACTCGGGCATCGCAAGAAGGCTTATGAGCTGCCCCGCATTAGAACCTCCAGGTGGATTGAATTTTCGGCCCAACAGCATTCAAGCCGGGGTTCGCCAGTGCTGGTTTCGAGTGTGTTGACCATTCCTCAACAGCCCCGATTGCCTTCCAGATCTGGAGTTTTCAGCGCCTTTCCCCGCTTCTCGAGCTGAGGGGCCACGAGGGCTGCGTGCGCTGCTGCACCTTCTCTGCGGACGGTGCCCTGCTGGCGACCGGAGACGACAACGGAGACGTCAGGGTAGGCCGCCGGCTGACGTGGTAGCCGCGCTTCCTTCGGCCGGCCTCCCCCCATGGGGCCTTCACTCGGGGCTGGGGAGGAGCCGGCCTGGGGCTCCAGCAGGGTCGCTGCCCTGGGTTTTGTTTCTGGGCCCTCTGTATTCACGCTGCGTTTTAGAGTGAGAGTGAAGCGTTTCCTGTGTATGGGAGGAGGCAGATACCTAGATTTTTGCAGTCGGTTCTTTGCTGTTAGCTGGAGACTGAGTCATCTTGATTCTTGGACTTGAACCAAAGGTTGTTTTTATTGGCAGAATTGAGGAAGATAATTTCGTAAGTGACTGGGTTATAAATGAAGGGCAAATGGTGCTGTTTTTCATGCCGAAAGAAGAGATTTCTTCAGCACTGTCTTCACTAGAGTCATTTCCAGTGTGGCTAGTTGCATCCTCTGAGCAGCCTGCCTCTGTTCAGCAGGGCAGAGGGCCACGTTTCCCACGTTGGTGGACAGGGAAGGGCTCTTTACAGGGAAGGGCAGTCTGCGTGATAGGCCATTTTTATTACCCTGCAGTGGTTAAGGTATACTTAGGAACCGTATCAGCTAATTTTCTTTAGGAAACAACTTTTCTAAGAGAAACGGAGTACCATTCTCATGTGGGTGGAAATAGAGTGTGGTATGGAAGGTATGACATGCCGAAAGAGTAGAAGTCATGAAAAAGCAGTCAGTTGACTTGGTTGTATTAGAAGAATTGGGTGTTGATGGAAAAAGTTTGGACATTGGGATGACTGCTTTGGTTAAGATATGTGAGGAAGGTAGATTCCCCCCCCTTCTTTACAAAGGAAGATTTAAGACTCAGGGAGCAGGTCTCTAATGCAGAAGAATAGGAGAGAGTGCAGTTTGCAGGAATAGAGGTGTATCATAATATTCCTTCCAGGAAAGCTAAGATTCTCTTGATGGAGGACTAAGTAGCCAGCTTCCCCGGTCACACAAAGGCGTGCCGGCTGATGGGGCAGGCTGCTTTGGGATTGTCTCTTTTGCTCTGCGTGCTCATCTTGGGATGACAGGAGTCCTTCGTTCACCAGTTAGGAGACAGTGTTCTGTTTTCAGACATCCCTCCAGGAAAAAACTGCCTCTCTTAAAATGTTGAGTATTCTAAAATTTTCCGTGGTACATTAAAAAATTTTTTCTTACCTGATTATTTAGAATATAGGAAAGTTGTTGATTTTTGTGTATTTGACTATTTTACTGAATTCTTTCTTTTTTAATTTTTATTTTAAAGAGGTGGTATGTAATTCAGGGTTAGGTATACAAATGGTCATTGTACAGGTAAAGTTGGGGCCTCACTTTGGTCCCCACTTCACCTGGTTTGAGATCAGGCACTTTATTGATGAAGTGTGTCCCCCTCCCCCGCTCCCTCCCTTACTGAACTCTTTCTTTTTTTTTTTTTTTTTGAGTCAGAGTCTCACTCTGTCACCCAGACTTCTCCCGGCCACCGCAGCCTCGACCTGCTGGGCTCCGGCAGTCCTTCTGCCTCAGCCTTCCAAGTAGCTGGAACTACAGGCGCGCACTACCATGCCCAGCTAATTTTTTAATTTATTGTAGAGATGCGGTCTCGCCAGGTTGCCCAGGCGGGTCACGAACCTGAACTCTTTCTAATGAGTTTTTTCATTTGGTTATCTTTGATTTTTCTAGGGATGCATTTGCAGATATTATCTTCTTTTGCTGTCATGCCTCTGATTTTTTTTTTTTTCTTATTCTGATGTGCATTTCTTTGAAAAATTAGAGCACTGCTTATATATTGTGTCACTGAAGATAAATGGTTCTGTTAGTGTCTGTAAGTGATAGAATTGTTTTTAAAAGCCCAATAAAATAATCTTAGAATATATATATGCATTTATATATAGTCTCTCTCTAAATATGTGTGTGTGTGTGTATACATATATGTCGTCTCTATATATATACACATACACATACATATCTATAATATACACGTATAAATATTTTTAAAACCTTACAGGAACTTATTTTTAAAATGTATATTTTAGGTGTTTGAGTGACATCTGTCAACATTCTTGGTGCTGGACTAGAATTATTTGTCTTTTTTTGAGGCAGTTTATGTGTTAGGCCTTTTTTGTTTATTATTTGCTTCTCCCATTTTTCTCTTTTAATTATACTGAGTCAGTATTCTCATTAATTGCTCTAGTCCTTTTGTTTTTTACGATTTCCTAGTATATGCCAGATGAGCTTGTTCTATCTATCATCTATCTATTTTTCTATCTACTTATCTACCTATCTGTCTGTCTACACACACACACACGTATTTTGAAACTAGAGAAACTCCTGTGTGACCCTGGTAATGAATTGTGTGTCATGTTGACGCAGATATGGAATGCCTTGAACGGGGAGCTGCTTCATTTGTGTGCTCCAGTCACAGAAGAAGGAGCTACCACCCACGGTGGCTGGGTGACCAGCCTTTGCTTTTCTCCAGACAGCAGAATGCTTGTTTCAGCTGGAGGCTACCTTAAGGTAAGAGTTCTCAAGGGCTGTAGAAGAAAGAGCAACCTCCGTCACCCTTTCCAAGCTGAGTGCACGTCCTATTTCTCAGTTGGGTCTCCGGCAGCCCAGCAGAGTAAAGGGCAGTTACTGCTACCCTGTTTTACGATGATGAGGCTGGGATCTGCTGGGCTGCTTTTCTCAGACCCCAGGATGCTTTGATGAATCCTGGGGAGGCTGTCAGCCCGGCTCTCTCACTGCCCCACACAAAACTGAGGTGAGCAGAGTGACCAACAAGTGGGTGTTTAACTTAATTTTGTTTTCTGTGTCAATCACTGTTAACTGGTGAAATTCTTTTAAAAAATACATTTGTGATGTTTTCTTTTTTGGGTAATGATAATAGCAGTAGCATGTTGCTTTATAGTTTATAAAATGCTTTACTTTCATCATCTCATTAACCAACTTTGTGAGGCTTAATTTTTTTTTTTTTTTTTGAGTTGGGATCTCACTTTGTTGTCCAGGTTGGAGTGCAGTGGCATGATCACTGCTCACTACAGCCTTGACCTCCTGGGCTCAGGTGATCTTTCTGCCTCAGCCTCCCGAGTAGCTAGGCCTACAGGCACAAACCACCACACCCAACTAATTCTTTGATTTTTTTTGTAGAGACGACATTTCACTATGTTACCCAGGCTTGTCTCGATCCCCTAGGTTCAAGCAGTTCTCCTGCCTTGGCCTTCCAAAGTGCTGGAATTACAGGCGTGAGCCACCATGCCTGGTCATGAGGCTTAACTTTTATTAACCTTGGATTACAGATGAGGAAATGGATTTTCATGGCAACTTTCCTAAGATTCCATAATTAGTGAATAGAAGAACCAGGACTCACACCCAGGTCTTCTTCTGCCTCTGTTTTCTCTAGCAAGGTTACTCATGCCAGCCTGCTGGAGGCCAGGGCGTCAATGTGTTGTGATACTTCGGGGACATTTGTTGGTGCTTTTTTGATGCATCTGTTTGTCCATCCAGGAGAAAGGCAGGAGAAATAAATCAGGGGTATCTAAGTAGGAAAAGAGGAAGTTAAGTTACCCATCTTTGCAGGTGATATGATCCTATGCTTAGAAAACCCTAGAGAGTCTGTTAAAAACCTCTTGGCACTGATAAATGACTTCAGTAAAGTCTCAGGATACAAGACCAGTATGCACAAAACAGTTGCCATTCTATACACCAACAACAAGCAGGCTGAGAACCAAATAGAAAACACAATCCCATTCACAATAGCCACAAAAAGTAAAATACCTCGGCATTCATATAACCAAAGAGGTAGAAGACCTTTCCATTGAGAACTACAGAACACTGCTCAAAGAAATCAAGGATGACACAAACAAATGGAAGAATATCCCATGTACATGGATTAGAAGAATCAGTATTGTCAAGATGTCCAGTCTACTCAAGGCAATCTACTTATTCAATACAACCCCTAAATATAATCCGCATCATTTTTCACAAATCTAGAAAAGATAGTACAGAAGTTCATATGGAAGCAGAAAAGAGCCCAAACGAAGTGGGAAGAATCATACTTCCACACTTTAAACTTTACTTACAAGGCTGCAGTAACCAAGACAACATGGTACTGGCACAGAAATGGACACACAGACCAGTGGAACAGGACAGAGAATCCAGAAATAAAACCATGGGCCTTCAACCAACTCATCTTTGACAAAACTGACACAAACAAACCTTGGGAAGAGGAAACCATATTTAGCAAATGGTGCTGGGAAAACTGGCTGACCACATGCAGGAGAGTGAAAACTGGACCCCTGCTATCACTGTATACAAAAATTAACTCAAAATGGATCAAGGACTTAAATGTGCAACCTTGAACTATAAGAATCTTAGACGAGAACATAGGGAATATCCTTCTGGACATTGGAGTAGGCACTGACTTCATGGCCAAGTCCTCAAAAGCAAATGCAGCAAAATCTAAGAATGACAGGACTAAAAAGATTTTGCGCAGCAAAAGAAACCATCAAGGGAATAAAGACACAATCCACAGAATGGGAAAAAAGTATCTGCATGGCAGGCATCCAACAAAGATCTAGCATCCAGGATTTTAAGGAACTCAAATAAATTGACAGAAAAAAACCCGACACCATTAAAAAGTGGGCAAAGGATATGAACAGACACTTCTCAAAGGAAGACATTCAAGCAGCCAACAAACACATAAAAAACTCAGCTTCACTGATCATCAGAAATGCAAATCAAAACCCCAATGAGTTACCACCTCATGTGAGTACGGATGGCTATAATTAAAAAGACAGAAAACAGCAGAAGTTGGCCAGGCTGTGGGAGGGGTGCTTCTACACTGTTGGTGGGAAGGTAAGCTAGCTCAGCCTTTATAGAAAGAAAGCACTGTGGCATTTTCTCAAAGAACTGCAAATCGAGCTACTGTACAGATCCACAATTCAACTTCTGGGAAGATATGAGGAACATAAATTGCTCTACCAAAATGACACCTGCACATGTATGTTTATAGCAGCACTATTCACAATAGCAAAGACATGGAATGGAAGTAGACTGGATAAAGAAAATGTGGGGCACATACATGATGGAATACTATGCAGCTGTAAAGAAGAACAAAAGCATGTTCTTTGCAGCAACATGGATGCAGCTGGAGACCATCATTCTGTGTGAACTATCCAAGAATCAGAAAACTGAATACCCTATGTTCTCATAAATGGGCCCTAAATATTGGGCACGTGAACACAAAGGAACAGCAAATGTGGGGCGCTACTAGTTGGGGGAGAGCAAGGTGCACATGACCACTTGTCGGGCACCACGTCCACGGTCGGGGGAGAAGGGTGCTCTAGAAGCCCAAACTCATCTGCCCACAACTTACTGACCACAGCAAATCCTCGCATGTGCCTCACAGCTCTAAAATCAAAAAAATAAAGTTGAAATCACTTGAAAAAAAATCTGAAAGAAAGGATGTGCGTTATATCCTTTTCCAAGGTGGCATTGAAAATACAATTCTGTTTACAAATTGTTGCATTAACCTCCATCTTTTGGGGCACATCTGTATCCAGTTATTTGGGGACCCTAAGAAATAGTAGCCGCTTGTCCTCCTAGCGTAACGATAAGCTGGAGCCCTTTTGTCTGCTGGAAGATGATGCTTAGAGGAGAGGCATTGCCAGCTTGTGTCTCCAGCCACCCCAGCTGCTGGAAAACCTAACAGCTCAGCTTCAGCACCAAGCTTCTAGAGACGCTGCGATCTGATTCCTTGGGCCCCACGGAATGCTGTCACACATTCAAGGGTCTGGCTTACGTAAGGTGTTGTAAAGATCCTCGACCAGGTTTGCAGGGTTCTTAGGGAACCTTGAAATAAAGCAGCGGAATAGATATTCATACGTAGAAGTTATGTCTTAAGGGCGAGAGAACCAATAGCCTGTATATTTAGTCTGCAGAGTTAAGTGACAGGCTGCTTTTGCCTTTTGGTTCGATCACCAGCGCGGTTCAGCTGATGATCCCGGCGCAGCCTGCATCTGCCCAGCATGCTAATGTGACCGTCCAAAAGCACGGAGCACATTAAAAGTAAAAAAGAACAGCTGCTGTGGTGTCCAAGAAAATAGGCCTTTTGAGTGTGTTTACTTTAGAATAAAAGCGGTATAAGTCGAGTGCCAGTAAGATGGAGTATGTATCCAGTAGCTAAAGAGTTCTTCGGTTTCAAAATTCTTCCCATTTATAAGCCAAAAAATCATTTAGCTGTTGACTTGTGACACTGCGAAGCACATACTGTTAGAATGACTAGAAACTCACATTCATTCCTAGTCACAAAGGGAAAAGCTGATGTGGACTATGGACCCCATGGCGACGAAAGGGCGAAGGTGATGTGCCATGACCAAGAGGCAGCAGAGTGAGGGGCGGAGAACGGGCCCGGGCAGATGGCCCGACTTCAGAGCCTGGCTCTGCTGCTCATTAGCTACGTGACCGTGCACAAGATGGCTTCATCTCTCCATGCCTCGATTTTCCTATCTGCAGAATGGGTGTGATGATAACACCTGGCTCATCTCAGAGGTTTCCTATATGCCCTCTGGCCTCCCAGGACAGCCTCTCCCACTGTCAGCATCCCCCGTTGGAGGGTGCCTTGGCTGCAACTGATGGACCTGCATGGACACATCATTCACGCCACAGCCGTAGTTGGCGTGAGGACTTGCTCTTGGTGTTGTCCATTGTGTGGGCGTGGGTAAAGCTGTACCAACATGTGTCCACCGTGACAGTGACATACAGAGTAGTTCACTCCCCTGAAGTCCTCTGCGCTACCTGCTGTTATAAAATCATTGTTTTTTGGCCGTATTCAAGCCAGTGGCTGGTGTAGTGTTTCCAAGCAAAATGGCCGGTTTGAGCAGAGGGAAGGGAGTGGGAGCATTGAATAGGAAACCAGAGACTGTCCTGCCTCTGCTGTTCACTGGCAGTGCCCTCCTGGGTGGCAGGGCCTTTCTCCTCTCAGAATCCCAGTTCCGTTACCTGCACAGAGGTGGCAGGACTGTGTGATCTCCGAGGGCCTTCGTGACTGAAAACTGGCAAGTCTTCTCTTGGTGGGTCGAGAGCAGGCTCCTCAGTCTGGATTGCATTGGTATTTACAAAGCAGACTGGTCAGTACCGGGAACTCCCAAGCGAGTGCACGCTGCCTCAGCAAGGGGTGCTGGGGTCCCTGGGTGCACCTTCGCCAGTTCCTGTTACTCACAGTGACAGGCACAGTCAGCCCATTCACGTGTGCCGGGCAGGGTGTTGGGCGCTGCCATGGCCACCGGGGTGAGTGACACTGTTAGTCTGCTCGTGGCATGCAGGGTCTTGGTGTGCCTGGGGCACTTCCAGAATGTGCTTATGTGTACTGTCTCGTGCCCTCACTTCCGCTGTGAGACACATGGGTGACCTTTTTGATCTCCATTTGGTAAATGAAGATAAATATCATTGTCCTAACAAATTCAGTGATTGGGAGGAAAGGGAAGGCCTTGGCTAGAGCACCTACTGCATTTGAGATGTTCAATATTTATTTAGTAAAGAAATAATATAGGGCCGAGCACAGTGGCTCATGCCTGTAATCCTGGCACTTTGGGAGACTGAGGCGGGAGGATTGCCTGAGCCCAGGAGTTTGAGACCAGCCCAGGAAACATAGCAAGACTTCATCTCTACAGAAAACCAAAAATGTAGCTGGGTGTGGTGATGTGCACCTGTAGTTCCAGCTATGTGGGAGGCTGAGGCAGAAGGATCTCCTGAGCCCAGAAGGTCAAGGCTGTGGTGACCGTAAGCATGCCACTGCCCTCCAGTCTGGGCAACAGAGTGAGACTCTGACTCAAAAAAAAAAAAAAAAAAAAAAGGGAAACAATATACACTGTTTTGTAAAGAAAAAGAAACTTAGTCGTGGACTCTTGAATCACTCCTGGTGAAAAGGATGGCTCATGGAGAGAACATTCTGTCCTGTAGCTCCTGTTACTGTCTGGGTCTCTGTCAGAATACCAGTCCATGCCTGCAGAGGGACGGCCTGAGGAAAGTGAGGGGCTGTCTCCCGTCTATTCCAGTGAGAGAGACAGCAGAGTTCAGCTCAGCCGTTGCAGGGGTGGCCTCTGACTCCGAGCACAGTGCTCAAGTAAGCTGTGTGTTCCCCCAGCGCGCCTTGCAGTGGAGGCGGCCAAGTGCCGTGGCGAGGCCATCACCAGAGCCTGTCAGGGAAGCTGACCAGGTGGCTAATCCAGGGTCGTCAACGCTGATCGCTCAACCCCTCTCTGCTGCTGGCTTGAGTGGGAGGAGATAGGGCCACGAGCTAGGTGGTCAAGTGCGATTCCCAGTCTAATGAGAGTTTTGTTTTTCTCCGCACAGTGGTGGAATGTTGTCACTGGGGAATCCTTACAGACCTTCTACACAAACGGAACCAATCTGAAGAAGATTCATGTGTCCCCTGACTTCACAACATATGTGACTGTTGATAATCTTGGTATTTTATATATTTTGCAGATGTTAGAGTAAAATAGTTGAGTATCGATGTAAATTGAACTTTCAAATTTAGAATTGGAAAAAAATTCTCATGAAACTCTACATATCAACTTTTTATAAAGCTGTGAGTTGTTTTGCAGGATTGCATTCGTTCCCAGAAGTGTTTATGGTGGATGAATAATGTCAATGTAGCTTTTTTCCATGAACACACCTTTAATCTTGTTTTTCATAATCATCTTATTAACAGTTTGTCCTTAAGATGCAAATGAAAATGTAAATACATACCTTGTTATACTGTTGGTAAAATTCTCTCTTGATGCATTCACATTGGTTCACATGATTAATGCGAAGAGTTTGAGGGAAATCTGCATTGTAATCCAGTCATCAGTGCAGGCTGGGCTTGGAGCAGTGGCCTGCTTTCTGGACCACACTACCCCAGGGGGCATGGCTCTCCCAAATACAATCTTGGAGTTAGTTTATGTGTACTCTTTAAATTTGCCCTAAATTTGCGCCTGTGTGCACAGTCTGCAACATTTTTGACTCAAGTGACTCTTGGTTTTCAACACTTCCTTTTAGGAAGCAGAAGTTCCATGCTAGAGAAAGTAGATTTTGTTGGTCTCCCCTTTTTTCCCTGTGGCTGATGGCAGCCTGGACTTGGTGGTCGGTGTCTGACGTGGGCACCATTCTGCCCTGTTTTCTTATGTGCCATACTTCCTACTTGACTGAACTTGACCTTTCTTGATCCTCCCTTTTAAAATTTTTTAGAAGCAGCTTCACAGCTAGATGTTAATAATTGGGGAGGGACCACATGTAATCATAAGTCTTAATATTTTTTGAAGAACTGTGAAATAGTAAAAATAATTTTCTTCTAATTCCATTTACATTTAGATGGATGGCATTGTCAGCGCTGTTCTCTTAGTGAATTTCCAGAGCGTTCTCTGGTTTTCTTGCAGTTCCAGAAGAGTCACTGCGACTCTGGATGTCAACTTTGGCCTCCAGCCAGCCTGTCTTCCTTCCCTGTCTCTCCCCCCCTGCCTTCTTTTGCTTTGTTTTTTCCCTTCCTTCCTCCTGAAATACATGATTATGGCCATGGAGGCAACTTGGTGATAGATGTGGTTTCCATATAAAAAGTAGCCAGAATTCAAAGATTTTTTATTTCTGTAACTAGAACTAAATCAAATGAGGATGAGTACTAATAGCAGAGAAGCAGTGAGCTTGCATTTATTGTTGGAGCCTCTTAGTGGATGCGGTGGGGTGAGGAGACAGGCCACCCAGAGGTTTTAGATGAGGTGCGCCCATTTCACGTGTGCTGGAGCCATAAATACAGGAAATACAGTCGTTTACATTGGGAAGGCGGCTTTTTGTTTTTAAGTGATAGGATGAGGATCTAGTTTACAGCTTTACTGTGAGTTAAGCAAAGATGATGAGTGAAACCTTAATTCTGTGAAAGGGAGTGTCTGAGTGGTGTGTCTGCCTAGAACATTCAGATCCCAGTTTTATCTGCCTGTGGTATGTAGGGACTCGCCCCACGTACAGCTCGGCGTCTAAGGAACAGACGTTTGGAATCCAAAGCCACAGACTGTCAGAGCAGAGCAACAGACACCATCTTCCAAAAGCCTCGGTCGGCCTCCCGCTGAAAGCAGGGGCAGGTGCGTTGGCCACACCTGCAGTCCAGCACTTTGAGAGGCTTAGGCGGGCGGATGGCTTGAGGCTGGGAGTTTGAGACTAGCCTGGCAACATAACAAGACCTCAACTCAAAAAAAAAAGAAGAGAAATTAGAAAACTGAGAAGGAAGATGAGCTAACTGAGGAAAGAGGAGACTCCTGACACCAAGGTGCTGGTGTCTCGTGGCCTTCCTGTGGCCAGCCACAAGGAACTGTGCTCTGTAGGCGGCGGGTGGGCATTTGACAGCGTTTTCCCTACTGCCCTTTTTATATTGGAAGTGACAGTGGACTTTGTATACATAAAGATGTTTTTACATTGTATGTCCCTTGTATGTCTTGAAAACTTTTGTATTTATGATGTAGCTTGTGCGATTTTTTTTGCCTTGATGATTTTTAAAAACTTTTTAAAAATAAAATTCCTAAAGTTGTTTTGAAAACCATTGTTGGGTCATGTCAGACCCCCTGCTTGGCATCTACCTGTTGATCAGAAGACTAGCGTGTCAGATGCAAGTTCGATCCAGCCACTCTGCGCGGAGGGCCGTCCCTCCCTGGGTGCCGATGGGGTTAATGCAGCGACATGCGGCGCGACTCTCACTGCTGCCCCACGAGGGGCGCGGGGCACGATGTCCGGGCTCCCTCGGGCCCCTTGTCTTGGCTGACCACAGCCCCGCGCGCCCCTCTGCCCACGGCTGTGTCCCCCACGTGCTCCCGCTAGGCGCCCCTCCCAGTC